AAGGAGCGGTCATTGATCCATCAAACTTCTAGATTCTATCGAATTTGAGCATGTCTATGTTATTATTTGACACAATTGATCCACATAGTTGGTATTTTGAACTCCGGACAATGCATCACTTTAGCAATCGAATATAAACGTGAGTATAGTTCATGTTGTGTGTGTAAAGCACATTATACATATGAAAGTTACACAATGGACATTATAAATAGCTACTACCTATGAACTAGCATACATTTGAATTCAACTTAAGGTGGTTTTAAAAAATCGAATTCAACATGAAGTCCATTCAATTATTTGAATTTGATATCATGGCATTTGTAAACCATACCTAAATTATGGGGGCACCAATCTTTGCTCTGATTTTGTACATAATAGCATATGTAGTCGTGTACAAAATATATTCAAATTTAGCTCCTCCATTCCAAAATAATCGTAGTTATAGGATTTTCAAGTGTCAAAATTTCAAAAAGAAGCGGATAATTTAATGAGGTTTTCAAACATACAAGGTCAAATATAACGTTGTATATTTAGGTCAATCCTCATAGTTCAAGAGTACTCTAAACGTGAATGCTTGTGTTTCAAAATTTCGAACGAAGCGCCAAAAGAGCCTCTACTCGCCCGAAACCGTGTGAGACCAATGTTTGGTAGTACAAGGAAATTACTTTTCTAATAACTCCGACCCGTGAAACCTACCGGCCCGACGTCCAAGGGTCTAAACCGGGGTAGGTTTGTAGCTTCATCTAGACGCCATGCAACCACATCCGAAAAACATTCATACACAATGCCGCCTAAGCACACATGCACGCGGCCGAAATCGCTCCCGCCCACTATTTGGGACACCTGGGATTACCATCCTACCCCCAACGCGCAGTAGGTCCCAAATTTAAGAGGGGGGCAAAGTTTGTACTTTCCCCAAATTTCAAACAAGAGCATCCCATCTTCTGTTCAAAAAAGCCAAAAACAAGCGCGTCCCAGACCGAAACATTGTCCCCCCCACCCGTCCGATTCCCCATTCGTACTCCATGGGCGCCAAAACTACCTCTCCACCAGCCGCGAAACCCCGGTGTCCTCCGTCCGCCACCCCATCCCACCCATCAACCGCCGCCCTCCTCCATTACGCCGGAGCCGATACCCCGACGTCGTCGTCCACCGCAACCTCAACCGCAATGCCCTCCACGGCTAGTAGTTGAAGCCGAGGCCGAGCCGTCCGTACCCGAGCCAGTTCAACCATGCCATCCTGCGCCTCACCGCTGCCGCTCCAACTTCGCCACCCTCCACCGCACCGGAGCTGTTCTTGCTACGCCGTCCTTCTCCGCCTCGGATCTGCTTCCCCTCCACCGACATACGGCCACGGCAACACAGTCAACAATTTAGCCATGGGTTCGTCCAAGTATGCACCCTCCAGAACATCGGTTTCCCTGGTAAAAACAAGAACATCGGCGCGACATGTGGGGGTGACCACACCGGCAACCGAAAAAGGTACTCCTCTTCCCTTATTCGTGCAAATCTTACGTCTCTGCTTGCACGGTATTCATCCCACAGAAGACACTAGTTGACCGCTTCTTCTTGATACTAGATGTTCCTAGTAACTCACGATGCACAAGGTTTCTCCTCATATACTATTTCACCTTAGCTAGAGGTCCGTCGCCCCCCTGAATTTCAATTTCTGGCCACTTGATTCCCAATTAACGGAAGCATTCCCCGGCGTAACAGGCACTAGTACGCATATTACACCGGGGAAGCAGCGCCTTGGTGTTTATCATAGGGGCGTGTGCGGCCTAGAGCTATTGGCGCCCGATCTGGAGGTCGGCCGGGATTAAAGGGATGGCTTGGGGGCGCTGCCAAGCACGGCGGTGGTGTGATGTCGATGGGAGGGCGGGGTGGCGGAGGCAGGGGTCTGGGCCGGTGGTCGCTGGCCGTTCGAGAAAGATCGTCAACAGTGATTGGCGGGAGGTAGACGAAGGCCATTTGTCCGTTCCTTATAGATCGGACGGTTCATTAAAAAATCGACTGAACTATTTATTTTCAGTTGACTGTTATCTTAGATATGACCACATGTGGTGGTGTGCTGGAGGAGTACCTGCATTTCCTGTGCTCATATATTACAAAATCATACGGAGTAGAATCTAATTTTGTTGTAGAGCTATCATATGTCTCCTGTCATTTATTTTTTCAGCCACCTGCTATCTGCTACTTTTACAGTGCACTAGTTCTGCACACACTTCACCCTTACTCTCACTGTTGTGTTTTTATGCAAGGGTCTTTCAGACTCTACTGCCATGAGAGAAGCCAAAAATAGAAGAGATAAGTCGCTCCAGCTTGTTGTGTGGCTAGGCAAGACACGTTTCAACGCTTTAATGGGTGTAGTGTCAGCAGATGGAGACGGGGAACGTAGCTCTGGAGTTGATGACCTCGCTCACAATGAACCACCATCCCAGGTGCTTTCTTTAACTTCACGGTGTCATATGTGGTTGCATGTTCTATATGGTGTCTAGCTTGTATTTGAAAGGCTGAAGTCGATAAGATAAGGAAAGATATTTTTTACATGAACCACCATCCCGTGAGCACCATAAGACAAATAGCTAGTCAGGGCACTGGCTGAGCCAGTGACAAGCCCAGCAAACATAGGCATCACCTGGAAGCCAACTAAAAAGCTGTGATGGTGGCGAAGCAGCCTGACTCCCACCAGGCTCTTAGGTCCTAGATGATCATGCTCACCACTCCGGCCGGATGTCTAGCTTGTATTGCTTCCAATTTGGTTAAATTGCATCTTCTTAGCTTACACATTATACCTTTGAATATGACATGCCTTTATGTTTTTGGTACATACTAGTACATCTGTGTATTAACCATGTTCTTACATCAAACTAATGTTCTTGTGTATCCCTCATCAATCACTTATGACGAGGCAGGCAGGCAAGGGGACTACTCCTCATTTAAAGAATGCAGCGTCAGCCTCCCGATATGATTCTCAAGAAACAGAAATGCTACATGAAGATAGTGAACGTAGCTGTAGTTGATTACAACATTTCCCCTACACTAGCATCGCAGGTGCTTGCTCTAACTTGGCAGCGTGATATGTGGTTGCATGTTGCATATGGTGTCTAGATTGTAATTCTTCCAATCTGGTTAAACTGCATGTGCTAGTCTGCTTAGCTTATACATTATACCTGTTAATGTGACATGCCTTCCTGTATTTAGTACATAGTACATCTGTCTATTAAGCATGTCCTTACATAAAACAATTGTTTTTTTGTATCCGGCATCAATGAACATGACGAGACACCTTTAGTATATGCAGTGCGATATTAGTTGCATCTTTCATATGATTTATAGCATGCGCTGCTTCTAATTTGTTGAAATTCCATTTATGATGGGACGCTTTTAACTTGGCAGAGTCATATTGGTTGCATCTTTCATGTGGTGTCTAGCTTGCATTGCTTCTTATTTGCTGGAATGGTTTCTGCTTAGTTTACACAAACAGTTGTGAACATGCCATGCTGTCCTGTTTTTCGTACATATTCCATCCTGGTATCATGTGTTTTCCTTACATCAAAGTAGTGATTGTCAGTATCATGCATGAATGAGTTCTGAAGAGACAATTTTATTGCTTTTTCTTTTTGGTTTTACTTGACAATTTTACTTGACAATTTTACTGTCAGTATCATGCAGCGGATAAAGGTGCTCCTTTTGAACGGAGGGCCTCTACAGTTTCTACTCCTCCACACCCCCAAGATGATTTCAAGAACAACACATGCATAAACACTCAACAAAGTTGTGTTTATGATGAGCACGTCTCCCCTAGTGCAGCATTGTAATGCCCCAAGACCGGAGCTTCAGATGCCTTCCAGGGTTTTCGGGTTTCTTCGTGTGTTTCTTTTGTTCCGTTGCATTTCATCATTTCATCATGTGCATTGCATCATGTCATCATGCCATCATGTCATTTCTTTTTTTAACTCAACTAAATAAATGGCATGGATCTTTGATCCATTTAAACTGAGGGAATTCACATGGTGATTCTCTTTACAACATATCCTCTCGATATTTAGAGAGCTATAGTCAATATTCCAATTATGTGGAATTACCTTAACACACTTGCAAAATATTTCCCCATGCCTTCGTCCCATGCCTCATCTCCTTCTCTTTTCCTTCTATTTCCTGTCTTATGCTAGTCCCGTTTTCCCTTCTCTATTAATGTCCATTCTTTTCCTATAAATTCTAGACCATGCCAGGACCACCTCCTCCAATTTTCAGATCCTTTGGACTTGTTTTGGTTGAATTCAAAAATGGATCAAGTTGAATCTAATTCAAACTTGAATTATTTTTCTATCTCTAAAATATCGCCAAACCATTTTATTATATTTGTGCAAAGTTCCGGCGCTCCAAGAATATTTTATTTTTCTGAAATATTCTTTCCCTAACCCTCTCTTTATTTTTTTCTTCTCTCTATTTGTTTTCCTGTTAAAGCAAGTTAGAGGGAGAGAGAAGAGAGCAGAGCCTAGCGGTCAGGCGGCCTGGTTTCCCGTGGCCCATTTGGACAAGGCCTCCCACGCCCGACCCAACCTTCCCCGCAGCCAGTGGCCCAAGGCCCAGCCGCGCCCCTGCTGTAACCCTATCATTCCCTGCTCGTTCCCTTCTTTCCCCATTGACCTCTCCCTCCTGCGCCGCCTCCACACACATCTCTAGAGAGAGGAGCAGAGCCCTCGGCTCGATCCAGATCCTCTCGACCCCTTTTCCTCCCGATCCCACGCAACCCCCATCGCCAGCTCCTCCCGCGAACGCCGCCGAGCGCTGCCCCTTGGCCGCCGCGCAACCTCGCCTTCCTCCCAGCACCAGGAGACTGCTCCGCCGCCTCCTCACCTCCCATGCCGCTGCTGCGCCGGCCAGCGACCGCCACTGCCGGAGCTACTCCTTCCTCTGCATGCTACCCCGGAGCCGCGCCGGTCTTCCCGTCCCCGCTCGCGCCAGGAGCCCGAGTCCTTCGCGCCGCGTCTGTCATGGCCTCGCAGCTCGACCTCCCGTCCTGCGCCCAGAGCACCATCCTCTTCGTCGCCTCCCCGCCATGGCACCCTACAGCAGAGCACCACGGCGACCATCACCTGCGCCTCCCCGAGCAGGAACTCCTCCTTCCCTGCACCCGTGCTTCGCTGACCGGAGGCGTCGTCCTCGACCGTCGCCAGCACCACTGCCCCACTTACGTCCTCAACCTCCTCCCTCCACGCGCTGTCAAGTTTCGGGAGCCGCCGCTATTTTGCTTTTGCTGCTGCATCTCCGGCCGTCTACAGGCGACCACGCCCGGTGTCTGCGATGCCTGCTGCTGCCGTTGTTTTCTTTCCCTTTCAACGAACGAGCAGCGCCTTCAGGGGTTTTCGCCAAGTTCTTTTCCATAGGCCTCTCCAAGACCAGGATGCGCCAAGTCCTGTTTGTGGATTTCGTCAAGTTCGAGATTCGTTGAACGAGGGCTTTTGCCTTACTCACTCTGGGACGCGACAAGTTCCTCTTCGAAAAAAACGTCTACATGATGATCCAACAAGTACCACGATGCTTGAAGACCTCGGATTCACCAAGTTCCCACAACGACGAGTGTGACCCTTCGGATGCGCCAAGTTCGTCTACACGAAAATGCCAAGTACCACTCATGTTGGCAAGAACCGCAAGTCGCACCCCGAATGATCGACGTCTCGTGGACCGTGTACAACTACTGTCGCTCCGAAGACGTTGGAGTCATCAAGTACCTCTCCGAACGAACGTGAACGACTACTCCCACTACCGCCGTCGCGAGAACGCCTACTTTCCTCTACGAACTTGATCCGTTCTGATAATGCACCCTTAGAAGGTATAACCGCCGAGACGATGACCCGTGGACCGAATGCATATGTTGTATGAAATGCTCGTGTTTGCTCCATGTCGGAGTTGTTCGGCGCATGTTGCCCCTCTTTTGCCTTGCCACCGACATGTGGGAACCCCGTAATCGGGAGCACCCCACCATCCTGGCATGACACGCTCCCGTCATTTCCTTTTGCACCGGTATCCCCGTGGGCTACCGGATAACTGATATGTTGTCGTGGCATCATTTTCGGATTCGTCGTCGTGGCACCCTTTTCCTTTCCACCATGATGTCAAATGCTTCATAATAATGCTCTTGTCAAGTTTTAATAAGAAAATTGCATAAACTTGTTCATGTCATCTGCATCATGATAACAACAATTAAAATGTTTAAATTGTTGTTGCATTAAATTACTAAGGCATATGGGGATTTACCGCATTTGTTATTTGTTATGTCCGGCCCCATTTAAATTGTTTAGATGATATAGTTTTGTTATGCTTCACCTCTTGCCATGTTTAAACAACATTTAATATTGTTGAGTACCTAATGAGAGAGAACTAAATAAGTCATGTGGTGTTTCGTCAATATGCAACGGAGTTGCATGTTGTGCTCCACTTAATTTGTAGGATTGTTTGTGCATTTTGCCATGCCATGCTTCATTAAACCGGACATGCATCATACTTTTTTGCGCATCGTGCCATGCTTATGTGATGTTTGTTCACCATGATTGTTTGCTTCTTTCCGGTGTTGCTTCTTCGGGTTGGTTCCGATAACGTCGTGTTGTGAGGATTCGTTCGACTAAGTCCGTTTGTCTACTTCATGGACTCGTTCTTCTTCCTTGCGGGATTTCAGGCAAGATGATCATACCCTCGAAATCACTTCTATCTTTGCTTGCTTAGTTGCTCGCTCTTTTGCTATGCCTATGCTGCGATACCTACCACTTGCTTATCATGCCTCCCATATTGTTGAACCAAGCCTCAAACCCACCTTGTCCTAGCAAACCGTTGTTTGGCTATGTTACCGCTTTGCTCAGCCCCTCTTATAGCGTTGTTAGTTGCAGGTGAAGATTGAAGTTTGTTCCTTGTCGGAACATGGAGATGTTGGTCCTTGTTGGAACATGTTTACTTGTTGGGATATCACAATATATCTTATTTAATTAATGCATCTATATACTTGGTAAAGGGTGGAAGGCTCGGCCTTATGCCTAGTGTTTTGTTCCACTCTTGCCACCCTAGTTTCTGTCATATCGGTGTTATGTTCCCAGATTTTGCGTTCCTTATGCAGTTGGGTTATAATGGGAACCCCTTGACAGTTCGCTTTGAATAAAACTCCTCCAGCAAGGCCCAACCTTGGTTTTACCATTTGCCACCTAGCCTCTTTTTCCCTTGGGTTAGGCCAGCCCAAGGGTCATCTTATTTTAAACCCCCCGGGCCAGTGCTCCTCTGAGTGTTGGTCCAACCCAGAGCACCATGTAGGGCCATCCCTTGGCAACTTAGGTAACGTCGGCTCCTGTACGCTTAGCTTATCCGGTGTGCCCTGAGAACGAGATATGTGCAGCTCCTATCGGGATTTATCGACACAACGGGTGGTCTTGCTGGACTTGTTTTACCATTGTCAAGGATGTCTTGTAGTACCGGGATAACGAGTCTGATCGGAATGTCTCGGGAGGAGGTCTATTCCTTCGTTGACCGTGAGAGCTTGTCATGGGCTAAGTTGGGACACCCCTGCAGGGATTTGAACTTTTGAAAGCCGTGCCCGCGGTTATGGGAAGATGGGAATTTGTTAATGTCCGGTTGTAGATAACTTAAACCTTAACTTAATTAAAATGAATCAACTGCGTGTGTAACCGTGATGGTCTCTTTCCGGCGGAGTCCGGGAAGTGAACACGGTGTTGGAGTTATGCTTGACGTAGGTTGTTCTAGGATCACTTCTTGATCATACTTTTATCGACCGTGCTTTGCCTTCTCGTCTCGCTCTCATTTGCGTATGTCAGCCACCATATATGCTAGTCGCTTGCTGCAGCTCCACCTCATACCTTTTACCTTACCCATAAGCTTAAATAGTCTCGATCGCGAGGGTGCGAGATTGCCGAGTCCCCGTGACTCACAGATACTTCCAAACCAGCTTGCAGGTGTCGTTGAACCGTGCAGATGATGCAACCAAGCTCATAGAGGAGCTTGATGAAGATCTTGTCCTTTGTGTTGTTTCGTTCTAGTTGATCAGTAGTGGAGCCCAGTTGGGTTCGATCGGGGACCGTGTCGCATTTGGGGTTCTTCTTTTATTTTGGTTCCGTAGTCGGACCTTGATTGTATTTGGATGATGTAATGTTTTATTCATGTAATTGTGTGAAGTGGCGATTGTAAGCCAACTATGTATCTCTTTCCCTTATGTATTACATGGGTTGTGTGATGATTACCTCACTTGCAACATTGCTTTCAATGCGGTTATGCCTCTAAGTAGTGCTTCGACACGTGGGAGATATAGCCGCATCGAGGGCGTTACAAGTTGGTAATCAGAGCCTTCCCTGACCTTAGGAGCCCCATTGCTTGATCATTTTTAGCAGCCGAGTTGTGTCTAGAAAAATGTTTTGAGTCATTTAGGAATTATATATCGGAGAGTTTAGGAATTCTTTTTACTCCCCACTCTCCTCATGGCTCTGGTAAGGCATCCTGACGTAGAGTTTTGACTCTTCTCTTCTCAAATTTCACTAAAAAAATTTAGGATCACGCGGGTATCTTGGAATCGTTCCGATGGTTTTATGATGAGAACATTGTCTTGGTGCCTCCTGTCAGGGGTTTTGTGGAAGTGTCCCGGGGAGTTGAGCTCTGAGGTGTTGTCGTCTTAATTTATCGTTGCAGTTCTGGAATACCTGAGTGTAGTTTCGCCGACATCGAAAATCTCTTTTATGCAGTTCGTTGGTGAGATAACCTCGACGCCACCTAGTACTGGGGCGGGAGTTCGGGAGTATTGCCATAACTCGTATAACCGATGCTTTTCGAAGGTTGAGGTAGATGATTTTCGAAGGTTTCTTGGTTATGTGTTGAAGGATGGATACAGCTGGATGTAGGATTTGCTAGGTTTGGGTGAGATATTATCCTTCCCCTGTATCCCCAACACCTGATTGCATAACCGGAAAATTTCGGGAGTTTCATAGGTGGGAATTCAAGTAGCTCTTAGGATATCTTCCCGACAGATGTATGATATGAAATTGGGGTTCGACGTCTAGTGGTCCGCCTATTCACGGTCGGTTTTACAGTGGTCTCGTTGTGTGTTAAAGAGTCCTTGGCTATGCCGACTCGGGGACACTTCGTATGTCATGTGCACTGCCTTGTACATGATGGTGTTGTACAATCGAGCCCGTGTAGGCCCCACCACGAAAACTTCGGACGAAATCTCTATCATATGTTTGTTCCGGCTTATTCTGCAAGCCAATCCTTTGTTTTCTGTTCAGTTGTGGTATTCGAGTTCCTTTGAAGTCAAATGTTGATTCCATACCTTCTCTAAACGGTGTTCTCATACTCCTATGTGAATACCAATCCTTCATGATAATCGAGATTGTCATGCCAATTTCTTTTCAACCGGTGTGTCTCTCTTCAAGTGGATCCGATCACTTCAACATTCGCAAGATCATTTATCAGTTCATCTCAACGGTATTTGTGTCATCCATCTCCAAGTTGCCTTTGTTTTTCCCGCCAACCCACCCTTTTTCCTCAAGGACTCATATTTCTTAATCAAGTATTCATCTTATTGATTCGAGGCCTCTTCATTCCTTTTCTATCAATGTTCTTATCCGGTAATTCTCAGGAAGATTCTAATGGAGCTTCAAGTTCGTTACTCTTCACTCGTTTTCTTCTCCGGTGGAACCAATTCAAGCTTTCGATGTTGATCATATTCTTTTTCGTATTTCAACGTTTTCTCATGCTGGTGCAATTCTTAATCATTCACCTCTCGCTATTCTATTGTCCCGAAGTGCTCAAGATATCTCAGAAGGATCGTTTTTTTTTCATTCAAGATCAGTTAAATCTATTTCGAGGTTGTTATCACATTCAAGTCATTTAATTCAACCGGTGCAACCTCTCTTTCAAATCTTTCAATGGTGTTTCTTTTGAGTGGGCCCTAACCCACAGGTCTTTTCCCAGGATCTTACCCGACTCTTCTAATCTTTCCGGAGTTATTCTGTAATTCTTTTTCAAGTTTGACGTAAGAATGAATTGTCATCAGTCAAATGTCTTTCTTCAAGATCTTTCAAAATTCTTTTCATCTTTGGCTCAACCTTTTCCATTCTTCATTCTGGAGGGCCTAAAAAATTCTCACTGGTGGTAATCATCGTCATTCTCAGATTTTGAAGACCGAAGAAGAGTTTCCCGTAAATCTTACTCCATTCTCTTCAAGATTCGCGATTCTAGCTTGTTGCCATCCTCTCATAATTATTTGCGATTGTGGAAATTCTTTTCACCCATCCGGAGCAATTCAAGATTCTTTTCAGTTTGTTCTCCGGAGCCCATCATCTCATAATTATTCATTTCCTAGCTTTCAGTTATCGTTCTCCAATCTTACCGGTGC